TATTTAATTTATATTTATTTATTTATTTTTTATTTTTTTATTATTAATATTATTATAAATATATTACATTTTATTTAATCCTCAGTTAGAAAACAGCTACAATTTACTTTATACTAGTAAAATACTAGTATACTAAGTAAATTTACTTTACTTATATTTAATTTATAAAAAAAAAAAATGCCAATCCTGAATAAGAACTTCCTACTACAATTTACTGTACAGGTTCAAAGAGTAATTTTTTTAGTTTTTTATTTTATTTATATAATTTTCATATTATTTTATTTTATATTTTATTTTTTAATTTATTTTTTTATTTTATTTTATTTATTTATTCATTCATTTTCTTGTCGACTTAGTCCCTTTATTAATACGTGGTCGCCAAAGCGGAATGAACCCCCAACCTATCCAGCAAGTTTTTACTCTTCCAGCCACAACCCATCTCTGGGTAACGTTCACACACACATTCACACGCATACTACGGACAATTTAGCCTACCCAATTCACCTGTACTGCATGTCTTTGGACTGTGGGGGAAACCGGAGCCCCGGAGGAAACCCACGCGAAGGCAGGGAGGACATGCAAACTCGACACAGAAACGCCAACTGAGCCGAGATTCGAACCAGCGACCTTCTTCCTGTGAGGCGACAGCACTACTGTTTTTTACTTTATTTTTATTTTATTTAATATATTTTCTATTTATTTTTAAAAATTTAATTTTTTAACTTTATTTTTTATTTAATTTTAGATTTTATTTTTTACTTTATTTTATTTTATTTAATATATTTTTTAATTTTAATATTTCATTTTTTTTACTTCATTTTTTATTTAACTTTAGATTTAATTTTTTACTTTATTTTTATTTAATTTAATATATTAATTTTTTTATTATATATATATATATATATATATATATATATATATATATATATATATATATATATATATATATATATATATATATATATTTAATTTAAACATTTAATTTTTAAAATTTATATTTTTATTTTATTTATACATTATGCATTATATATATATATAAGGGCGAAACAGTGGCGCAGTAGGTAGTGCTGTTGCCTCACAGCAAGAAGATCTCTGGGCTGCTGGTTCGAGCCTCGGCTCAGTTGGCGTTTCTGTTTTGAGTTTGCATGTTCTCCCTTCGTGTGGGTTTCCTCCGGGTGCTCTGGTTTCCCCCACAGTCCAAAGACATGCAGTACCTGTGAATTGGGTAGGCTAAATTGTCTGTAGTGTATGAGTGTGTGAATGTGTGTGTGAGTGTTACCCAGAGATGGGTTGCGGCTGGAAGGGCATCCGCTGCGTAAAAACTTGCTGGATAAGTTAGTGGTTCATTCCGCTGTGGCGACCCCGGATTAATAAAGGGACTAAGCCGACAAGAAAAAGAATGAATTATATATATATATATATATATATATATATATATATATATATATATATATATATATATATATATATATATATATATATATATATATATATATTTGTTTTATATTATTTTAATTTTATTTTACTATTTATTTTTATTTTATTATATATTTTTTATTTTATATATTTATATCTAATCAGCAGAATGAACCACCAACTTATCCTTCATATGTTTTATGCAGTGGATGCCCTTTTAGCTGCAACCCATTACTGGGAAACACTCATACACTTATTCACACACACATACACAACGGACAATTTAGCTTATTCAATTCATCTATAGAGCATGTCTTTGGACTTGTGGGGGAAACCGGAGCATCCGAAGAGCACCCACGTGAACATGGGGAGAACATGCAAACTCCTCACAGAGACTCCAACTGACCCAGCCAAGGCTCGAATCAGCGACCTTCTTGCTGTGAGGTGACAGCGCTAGCCACTGCACCACCGTGCGGCCTGAAGCAGAATAGTTCTGTCAATTTAACTAGACATTTGTGTGTTGGTTTTGATTTCAGATAGCTGTTTGGATTGCTGTCAATAGTCTGTTTGTCTTATATTGCCATAAGACCAGATTCACATCCACAAAAACCGATCTGGCACTGGCTAAAACACTTATCCATTAACATAGAGGCGTTTAACAGCACTGAGCTCCTTATCTGAACTCTTTACTCCTCAATGTTACTCTACGTTTCTCGTCATGGAGTGCAATCTGGCTTAAGTCTGCTCTCAGTAAAACATTTCATCTCTCAGACACTTTAGCACTTGCACCAGTTCTTCACATTTACAGACACTTTCTTACAATCACTCCATATCTAAAAAAAAAAATACATATCACATTTATGAAGTGTGGCTCACAGGTGAGTGGGCATGACAATCCACCTGTAGAAACACTCTTCTCTCTTTCTATATATAAAGAAACACTCACTTCCAAACTCTAGCACTTAATTCTCTGAGCACAAACAGTTTCTTTGTATAACTGTCACTACACTGTGTATTGCCTCTTCTTGTTAAATCGCTAAATGCCTCAGGTGTAAGTTTCTTCATACAAAATCTTCAGCTAAATGATTAAAAGAAAATGTAGGTTGTCATCTTTATTGATTTATAAATTCATCTGATGGCTGAGAACTAGAGGCTGTTTGTGCTTTGTGCATCTCCTTACAAGGAGGGAAGATTTTATCAAAGCGGCTGCACCTGAAACTGGCCGTCTGTTTATAGGCTCAAGCATCCCGATGATAAACTGCAGACGCTGTCAGGAGTGTGTGGAAATCTAAATATTTTATTCTGGAGGGAAGCTGTATTATTAGTGTTAGGGTACTATTTATCATGTCTGGAGCGAAGCCTTGACGCCACCAGGACGCCATCAATAGGGATGAAGCTTTGAACATGTGGCCTGCTTTCAGTCACTTTGCGCTGGGATTTTAGAATGTCTGGGAAACAACACAGAGATGGCATTAGGAGGTTTCATTTCTGGCTCTCGCAAATGTTATATAAAATCATTTAAAAAAACATTGTCAGGTAATAGATGTGACGTGTTAACATGTATCAGTTATTTAGCAGGTCTCTGAAAAGTGGATATCTAATTTGGCTTGGGGTGTGGTATATGACAATGTTGATAATAGTAATCATTGAGAAGTCGCAAGTTAGCCCAATTAAGATTATGCTTCTATACTTTTTATAACTTTTATAATAGTTTCTGTAATGTTTTATATTTTACTGTGGTTTACTAATATTTACTGTGTTTTAATTTCAGTAAAAGGAGTTGCACTGTAAACTCACAATAAAACTGAAGTGAACATACTTGCTTATCAAAATCAGTCAAAATACTTAAACATAATACTAAGAAATATAATTTCTATTATTCGAAATGACTTGTGCATTATATTTGTTTGGATATTTTGTGTATTTTACTCTAAAACAAAAATAATAGCCATAATGATGCTATCCCCTTTTTATTTATTATTTGAATCATAAGCCAACAAATTACAACAAAATAAAAAATGTCAATGGTACCTTAGCAGTTCACAGATCAATGTCTGCAAATTACTGCACAAATTATCCTTCATATATACAGTATTATGATCTCCCTCACATACAGTTGAAGGAAAAATTATTAGCCCCCTGTGATTTATTTTAAAAAAATATTGTAAAATATACTTTAAGTGCTATTTAAACAAGAGATTTTTTTTAATTAACATATTTTTAAACACAAAATTTTTAATTACAAATTTTAAAAAACCAATTACTTTGCCATGATGACAGTACATATAATGTTTTACTAGTTATTTTGCAAGATTCTGGTATTCAACTTAGTGCAATGTAAAGGCTTAAATAATTCGGTTAACTAGACAAGTCAGGTTATTTTGGCAAGTCATTGGACAACAGTGGTTAGTTCTATAGCCTACTACTATAAACTACTACTCTTAAGGGGATAATAATGTTGACTTAAATTTTTCTTTGTTGACATAAAACTTTTTTTTTTATTAAGACTGTTTTTCTTCCAGCAAAATTAAAAGTTTTGAGAAGTTCTCCATAAGATTAAATATGTAAGGAAATAATTTTAAAAGTTCCTTGATTTTTCCTTGAAAATTTAAAGGAGGGCTAATAATTTTGCCTTTAACTATATGTCTCTATATTGCCCTTACGCCCCATTCACACGTCAACGCTTCCCATACACTTTGAATGGGTGACGTCAGACGTTGCCGAACTGCATTGTGGATCCGTTGGCGCCGCTTCAGAGGCGTTGCTCGCTGCAGAAGTTGGGACTAGCTCAACTTTTCAAGCAATGATGGAAGCGTCAGCCAATCAGATCGCTGTATGCAAATACACCAGCTAGACAGTGGCCTATTGCTGACTGAATTTCATTGGCTGACACTGCGTTAGCCCCAACTTCAGACATGCCTTCAGTCAAGCATTGACGCTGAAGCCCCGTGTAAATGGGGCGTTATACTTGAGGTACAAGCAAGCGCAGCCATTGGAATCTTTTTGGCTTTAGACTTCCGGTCTCTTTCACTTCCATTGGTTTTTAGATTTTAAAAACAGCTTGTTACGCTTCTTGATATTGCAAACATATATTTTCTCATTATATTACTCTACTTTTTATGTATAGTCATTAACACAGTTGTTTGTTGAGCGAATAGTTTGACCGTTTTCTGCTGTTTATTATTTCCAGTCATTTCTGAAAGTCATTTCTTCCATATAGGCCACTGAATTGGAAGCTCTTAAACAGGGGTGTCCAAGCTTGCTGTGTGCTCGTTTTTGTGATTGTTTTAGAACAGGGGTGCCCAAACTGGGTCCTGAGGGTCCAGTGTCCTGCAGCTTTTAGCTTCAACTTGCCTCAACACACCTGTAAGGATGTTTCTAGAAAGCCTAGTAAGAGCTTGATTAGCTAACCCAGGTGTGTCTGATTGGGGTTGAAAGTAAACTTTGCTGGACACCGGGACCAAGTTTGGGCACCCCTGTTCTAAAACAATCACAAAAATGACATCACAAAATAAGGTCAACATTGTAGGCATCATTTCATCTGGAACCAGCAGTTATGAGCAGATAAGTGATTCGCTCTTTACCTTGAGTTGGCGATTTCAGCCTTCTGTTTCGCAATAGCGGCTGCTCTCTGTGCCCCTTCCAAACTGCGCTCCACTTTCTGTTTAATTTTTGTGCCCTTCAGCTGTATCATCTTCTTCTTCACAGACTTCACGAGCATGTTGTTGACATACTTGCCTTCTTCTTTTCCCCCCTCTGGGAAAGTGGTGCACCCATAACCGTGGCGCTGGTTATTGAGCCACTCACCCTCATATTTAAGCCCACTAGAGCGTTCGCTGATCCCGTACCCTGAACGCTTGTCATTTTTCCACTCTCCCATGTAGACCTCAGTGGTGGTGGCATCAATGTCTGCCTCTACGGGGGGAAAGTTATGACCTTCGCCTTCACCCTCGCTCTCGCCCAGGCTGATGGTGGAGTTTGCATCACTGGCAGCAGAACTCAATGCTGACTCAGTCCGCAAAAAGCTGATCTTGCTCTTCTGGCTGGAGAGAGACGTGCGGGAATCAGACTTTTTTAGCTTGCCAAGAAATGAGCCGCGGCGGAAGAGACCACTTTTCTTGGGCTTGACCGCATCTGGGTCCACTTGCAGGGTGAGGGCAAAGCCACCACGGGATGGCCCCAGAGGCATGGGTAAATTGACTGGAGTCTCCTGGCCTGAGGCATTGGTGGTGGTGATGACCGGGACGTCCTGCTGGAGGAGTGTGCCATTGCTGTGTTCACTACGTAGGGAGCTAAGAGAGTTGCGCAGGGGAGAATGCACCACTGCTGCCATACCATAGGGAACGCTTTGACGTACTCCATAGCCGTGCCGCATGCCACCTGTGAACTGGCCCTGGAAGGTACCTGTAATTGCAAAAAGACATTAAGTGGAAGATGTTATAGTGCTGGCTTGCCAAATATTCAAGTTAAGCAATTGACTTTTACAATTTTTAATCCATTCAGTTGATTTAAGAGACTGGCGGAAACACTTTTAGTTTAGCAAAGTTCATTGAATCGGATTAGACCGTTTGGCACAAGGGTGCTAACTCAGTCCTGGAGGGCCGGTGTCCTGCAAAGTTTAGTTCCAACCCCAATCAGACACACATGGCTAGCTACTCAAGCTCGTTTCTAGAAACATCCTTGCAGGTGTGTTGAGTGGTGATGTGCGGATCGATACTAAATTATCAATATCTCTGATACCAGCTTTGTGTGTTCTAGAATTTATCATTTTATCAAAATATTAATATTTAGTAATTTGGAGCAAATATGTTGTTTATTGGAAATAAAAAAACAGAGAAAAGTAATCACAATTACCCTAGTTTATCGGAATAATGCCAGCTTAGGCGGAACTACTTGTTCTTCCGCCTGCCAAGTCATGTGTGTAATATGGCACTGTATAACTGCAGAGCACGCTAGCTAGTCACTCAGTCAGTCCGCTGGCACATGTTGTTTAGTCACGCTGTCATTGGATATGAGTGACTGCAAGCGAAGTTTTGTGTGGAGCTACTTCACTTCCATAAACTCAAACTTTGCTGTTTGTGACATGTGTAACAAAACAATGAGGTACTGTGGTAAAACCACAAATCTAATCAAACACCTACATATAAATCACAAGACAGAACATGACTACGTCATGACTAGGCGGTCAGAAGAGAGGAAAAACAGTGGTAAAGGTGCTGCTGGAAATGTGGCGATGTGGCTGTATTTTGGGTTAAAAATCTTTAAGGGGACCGGATTAACATGTCACTAAACTAAAAGTTGTGAATGTTTATTGTTTTATGTTAAGATGTTCAGGCAGGTGTTTTAAGATATACATGCTCAGATGCTGTCAATAAATATGTTAGTTGGCTCTTTTTTTTGTATAATAATTCTTCATCAATAAAAAATAAACAAGAATAACTCGTAATGTGTCTCGTACTCAGCGTAAAGTGACACTTTTAAGTACACTACTTATTACTTGAATTTCCCAAACAGTAATTTTTGGGCAAAGTATCAGTATTGTCGATACTCACCTTTATTTTACTTGGTATCGGATCAGACAGAAAACCAGTGGTATTGCACATCACTGGTGTTGAGGCAAGTTTGAGCTAAAATCTGCAAGACACCGGTGCTTCAGGACTGAGTTTGGACAGGCCCAATTTAGCATCTTGCTTAATTATTTTTTTTTAGAATAGAGTTTTAATAATTTTCCATTTCAAGCTTGACTCTTTTTCTAAAGCTGATGTAAAATTAAAAGTTGTTACACTGAAAAAAATTATTCTGAGATGATTCCTTGGATTTAATCTTTTTTTTTTTACATTAAGTGGTAAACAATTTATTTTTGTTGAATTTAAACAAACAAATTAAGTTGAACATTATTAAACTTAATTTGTGTGTTTAAATTCAACACAAATAAATAGTTTGCAACAGTTCTGCATGCAACACTTTTTTTCAGTGTATTTCCTGGACTGATTTAGCTAGAAACTACATTGTTATTCCAATGTAATAATCAAGATCTCACAACAAGAAGGCCGCTTGTTCGAGTTTCGGCTGGGTCAGTTGGCATTTCTGTTTGGAGTTTGCATGTTCTCCCCATGTTGGTGTGGGTTTCCTCCAGGTGCTCCGTTTTTCCCCACAGTCTAAAGACATGCACTATAAGTGAATTCAATAAACAAAATTGGCCGAAGTGTATGAGTGTTAATTGGTGTGTATGGGTGTTTCCCAGTACTGGGTTGCAGCTGAAAGGTTCATCTGCTGTGTAAATCATTACATGGTTCATTCCGCTGTGTCAACCCCTGATGAATAAAAGGACTAAGTCGAAGGAAAATGGAATCTCTGATGTGAAATGGCCATTTCTTTGAATTATTTGATCCTTGTCATTTTTTTTTTTTTTTTGTTATTCTTTTTTTGCTTGACGTGAGAAATCCATTCAGGTTTGGATGAGCATGAGTGTCTGTAATCGATGACGGAATTGTCATCCCTTCAGCTAAACTACAGATTGTATTACACCACTGCATTTTATTCAAATTCAGGCCACCCGTAAGCTCATTGTCACTTCAGGCATGTGAGACAACAGTATTTACAGCAGTACAACTGCTAGCGAGCCGCCTCTTTCATATCTACCTCTGGGGTAATAAACCACGTGCAGTTATTTATGTCATGGGGCCTGCGGGTCCACTCCTGTCATGAAACACATGTCTGAGATCCATCAGTCCTCAGGGACGGGCAGGGCAGAAGGGTACAGGCACGGCTATTAATGTGCCTTAATTCACACAGTGCCGGGACTAGGACTTTACATTGCAAATAATGATGACTCAGCTTACAGCTCAATAGATGCATTATAGGAGGACACCGGCAGAATAGGAGAACTCAGTGGAGAAGTCAGTGGTGGAAACAGTAATGAAAAATTATAAGAACAAGTACCATTACTTGCCTAAAAATGTAGTGCAGGTAGAGTAAAAGTATCTGTTGTAAATATTACTCAAATTATGAGTACAAAGTAGAACTTTCAAAAGTACTCAAGAGTAGAGAGTATTACACTGTGAAAAGCTGATGCATTTACATGTCATTTGTGGATGTGTGTAAACGTAACATTCTGTAGTGCATTTAGTTAGTGTCTAGCAGGCACACAACATTATAAGATGATAATATTAGGTTAGATTTAGGTCATGACGTCAGGTGACCAAAATTCAATGTCTAGCCAGCGTCTAAGGACAACGTTATTTTGACGTCCAATAACGACGACAAATGACATTGATATTTGGTTGATTTTAGATTGTGTTGAAAAGTGACCAAAATCCAACAATGAGTCAATCAACATCTTAAACCACTGACATTTATTCGTCAGGTATAGCAAACAAAATCCATCGTCTCATAGACATCATAGTGGCAATGTCCACACAACGTCAAGCTGTAACATCATTAGATGTTGATATTTGGTTGATTTTAGGTTGGACACTGACATCAGCCTGACATCAAATTCTGAAATCAACCTGATTTTCATTTCCAATCAAAATGCAACATCTCCATGTCATTAGGGTACAATGTCAATCTGATGTTGTGTTGACGTCTTGTGCCTGCTGGGTGTTTAAGGCCATTTCGGTCATCACACAGTAAACATTCGTCATATTTTTATCAATAACATGCATCTAAACAGGCTCTGGGTCATTGCGTGTAAAGATTTTGGACATCTTCTTGGACACTTTTAATGCTTCCAATCAGTTTGCTGCAATTATAAATCACCCATGTCCTGAGGTGGTTCATTGTGATGCGATTTACCTTCTGTGTGGGATCTGACTGGACAGGAATCACAGGACTGATTTTCTATTCCCCTTAAACAATAAATAATAAAGTAGTGACTGCAGGTTGCAGAAGAGTAGTGGAGTAAAAGTTCAGATACAGTATTAAAATGGACTCAAGTGAAAGTAAAAGTACACATTTATAAAACTACTTGGTAAATTACAATTCATGAGAAAAATTACTCAATTACAGTAATTTGAGTATTAGTAATTTGTTACTTTACACCACTGCTTAAAGTACACATGAAGTCAAAACTAATCGTTATTTTTGTTAGCTTACATTGCTAGTTTTGTGGTGAACACTTTATCTTTGCTTGTCATTAAGAAAAAAAAAGTGTTTGTGCTTGTAATCTAAAATCTGAAGATGCACTTCCTGTTTGTTTTAGTTAAATTTTCAGATTACATCAGTCTAAGGTTAACATGCTTAACCCATACCTATCAACCCTCCAGTTTTTCCTGGCATTTCCCTGTATTTTACAATTCTTGCCGTTATCTTCCCGTAAAGTTATTTCTCCCATATTTTTAATGAAGGGTGGAAATAAACATTAAAGAGCCAATCCTGCCTATACACAACCATTAGCGCCGAACCACCAGGGTTTCCATCTTGCATTTATATGTGAATCTGTTCTGTGCTTTTGTTTTATTTAGGCATGAAAACACTTTGAAATATAAAAACAGCGGGATTCTCTTCATTTCCATTGTAGGCTCTGTTGCGTCTCCTATGCAATTCTCAAAACAATCCCTATAGCTGTGCGTAACTGTCCGACGCGCTCCATATTGATAAATAGATGCTGCTTCCCAAACAGATTCTGTACATGTGATTTGAAGCAGTGTAAAAGTGGACACTGGGTTTCGGGACCATAATGTATATAAGGAAAGAATTTCAACAGTACATTTCAGTAAAATTCGTTTACTGTAGGAGTCAGTTTACTGTTTGCTTGTTTTTTGCTCCATGTAATGTCCATAATGTCTATGACATAGTCATTTCATCACCTTAGAATTATAAGGTTCTACCTGACATTTTTGACAAACTGAGTAAATGACATATTCTTATTACATAACAGCTTATTTACATTATGGGATGTTTTTTATAAGTTGTTTACATTTGAGGAGTTTTTATTAGAAAACAAATGTTACACACATACTGTTTGCCAGAAAAAAAGCTACTGTGTGTAGTTTACCTTTAAATGTTAAAGGTTTAAAGTCAAAATGTTGAAAGTTAAATGTTTTTCTTTTGCATTTTTGAAAAAAAAAAAAAAAACATTGTTAAAAAGATTTGCATTTGCTGATCCACAAAAAAAAAGACTAAATTCCATGGCAGTAGTTGGTATTGTCACTTAAAGAAACGCATATGACAATGTGTAATCTGCCACTGTTATTTTATCACTGACAAAAGTCCAGAATTTTTGCCACTATTTTCTCATTTGTCTTATTTTGGCTGATACGCCATTATAAATTGTGAAAATAACCCATCGAAGGTTAAGACCATGCAGAATATGACACAAGTGAAGACAACTTTCGCTATTGACCTCATTCATTTATTTTATTTTCGGCTCAGTCCCTTTATTAATCCGGGGTCGCCACAGCGGAATGAACCACCAACTTATCCAGCACATGTTTCACGCAGCGGATGCTCTTCCAGCCGTTACCCGTCTCTGGGAAAAATCCATACACACCCATTCACACTCATACACTACAGACAATTTAGCCTACCCAATTCCCCTGTACCTGGAGGAAACCTACGCGCAAACGGGGAGAACATGCAAACTCCGCACAGAAATGCCAGCTTACCCAGCTGAGGTTCGAACCAGCGACCTTCTTGTTGTAAGGCAACAGTACTACCTACTGCTCCACTGCGTCACCATGCGCTATTGAAGTACTGTTGTTAAATAGAAAAAAACGGTAACACTTTATTTTAATGATCCATTTGAGTATTAATAGTCTGTCTGCTTAATATCTGTTGATACTGCTGCTGATCAGACATTTGACTGACTGTAAGAAACTTTGCAAGTACATGTGAACACTTACCCTAACCCCAACCTAACTGTTTACTTAAAATCTAATGAGAATTAGTTACAATGCAACTTAGATTCAACAAATGGACCATAAAAATAAAGAGTGATCGAAAAAACATTTTACAAGTATAGCCTAACTTTTATTCTAAATTGTGGACCTTATTCTTAGGAGAAAAAAAAAATTGACCAATAAAAAGTTCAGAAGCCCAAAAAGCGGCCCATATTAAAGTAAATTTTAAAACTAATTAAGTTGTTGTTGTTATCCATGCATTTATATTTTCTAAATAAAGAGAGGCTAGAAAAAAATTGTGAAGCTCTACATTATTTTTATTATTTTATAATTGTTTTTTATTCAAATGGTCAAATTCTGACTGAGGAAAGCTGAATGGGCTGGCCAGCTTGTTATTTGTCTAATAAATGATAACAGACTAAATTTTTTCTAATCATATATGATGTAATAACTTTTTTTAAAAAGTTGTTGTTTTTTTTCTACAGTCTTTCTTTATTATAAATCTTTAGGAAATATTTTCGGTACATCAAAAAATGACCATCCAACAAGCTACCGTAATCCAGCTATAAATAATGCTTAAAATGTCACTAAATGCAGTGTTTAAATTTCTCATAATTAAACAGAAAATTAGGTGAATAACAGCAAAAAAACTGAAAAAAAAGAAGAACCCCCTTTTACCAGGCTGGCTGTAGGCCTACTAAGGCATGCCTGTAGTCTGAATCCTTCACATGAATGCACATGACATGCATTTACACAAATCATACTCTACACAAAGATGCTAACCCTTTTATTTCAAAAACCTGAATGTTTAATTCATTTCTATAGTTTGTGTTCTGAAGCTACCTAAAATGTTGTTGTCACGCTGTGTAAAACAGTATTCCATAAACATAATTTAACTCTAAAACTGCAATATTTATATAAAAGACTTTAAAATCTAAGAATCTAAGACAATCTACATTGTTGTCCTATACTGCATGTTGACTTATCATCCTGATTGTGTCTCAACAAAAGACACAACTTGGCCACTAGTGGAAAACAACTTGTACCATGTCCAGAACAGGATTTGTGACACTAATTTGTAAGCGCCCTCCTTTCTGCACTGGCAAATGTTACTTAGCAATAGGCTTTAACCCAAAAGGCCATCTGTGGAAACACCAGGGTTCTGTAACTGGAAGCATGAAGTTTATACTACTAGCATGGGCTCAATGAATTAGTGTTTGTCTGATTTTATTAAAGAACAGTTTTCTTTCACTTCTAGAAATATTTATAGGATTAGTTTAGTTGGGAGTCTACTTTTAGTTTACAGTCTTTGCTGTTTACAAGATGTGAATTATTCTGCACACACACACACACACATATATATATATATATATATATATATATATATATATATACATACATACACACGCATATTGGTTTGATCAGGTTTTGCAATAATATATTATTTTTAAATGGACTATATTTATTTTACTATTTTATTTTACAAACACAGATCAGAATTTGTTGCACGCTTCTGAACAACGTAAATCTTTTTCCTGCATCAATTAAAATTCATTTCGAAATCCCATTTTAAATTTATATCCAATTTCTGGTCATCAGATGTACATTTAAACAACCTTCCATTATAATAATTGAAGCAGCTAAATTAACGTCTTTCTGTTGCAGTACATCGTATCTGCAGTTGGTTGTTTTTGATGAAAGTAATTTATGGAGGAGCAGAATTTAATCTAGTGCATGCAATCAACAAAACTGATGACATTTTCATTAATAACCAAAATAAACACTTGACTGACCATTAATTTCATAACCTCAGAAATGTGTGTGATTGGTTTACCACTGAGAAGCGTCCTGCTCCATTCATGTTCAGGTGGATCAACTAGTTCTTGTAATGTTTCTTCATGAGACATTTTGAATTATTATGGCGATTACAATGTCATTGTCGCTGTACTGCACTGTGCACAATCAGTCCTGTATAAGGAAGCCTCTTGACACGTTATAAGATATAGTAATTGGCATTTCCTTTCCAACATGTGTTGTTAGGTCGACCAATCACTAGACTGACCGATCACCAGAGAACAATTTCTGCTTTCCAGAATAATATGGTGGTCAGCCATAGCCAGGGATGTCTTCTTTATACAATGTTCCCAATGTTAGTAAAACATTTTGGATGATAGATGAATGTGTGATTCTGTTTATATTTTTACACACACACACACACACACACACACACACACACACACACACACACACACACACACACACACACACACACACACACAGTAAGAATGCTCTTATTTGGTTCGCCTTAAAAAAATATATGATAATGGGTAACTAAAAAGAATCCTGTATGAACTTTAGGAGAACGTTCTGTTTTTACTGATGTGACCAATCAGAATGGAGTAGAATTGTAAAATAGGAATGGTTTAGAAAGAACAAATCTTTGAACAAATAGTTTGAGATGGATAGTTCATTCTAAAATGTCCTCACTGTTTGCTCACCTAGAATTTTGAAGAAAGCTGAAAACCTGTAACCATTCACTTCCACCGTAGGAACAACAGATATGTATGTCAATGGTTACTAGTTTTGAGCTTTCTTCAAAATGTCTTGTTTTGTGTTTAATAGGAGACAGACACTTATAAAGGTTTGAAAGTAAAGGGGCGAGTAAATTCATTTTTGGTTGAACTATCCCTTTAAAAAACGAAATCATGTGAATTAGATGCGAGTTTCTATTTTATTTATTTATTTATTTTTACCTTGGATGTAAATAAATCTTCATAATAGTACTATAAGGGTATTTTAAATTAACTGAATGATAAATAAATAGTTTATAAAGTTGTGTTCGTAGTCCAGCTCTAATACGGCTATGATAATTAAAATACCTGTGTTTGTAAATTTAAAGCTTATTTAGCAACAAATGAGGACAGTAATTGCTAATATTTTTTGGAACTATATTTTCCCCCTTTGTGAGTAAAGAATTACGAAGAATCTAAATCGGAAACGGGATCGTTGAAGTCTTTACGACTCTTACCAAGGTGTAGGTATTGCGTTACGCACCAGCCTAACCCCTGTCTTAAAATGTCAACTCACAGTTTGCACTCACAAAAGTTCATTCTCCGACCTTACCGCCATCAGCGTAGGTCTCGGTGCCGTAACCATCTTGCAGTCCGTTATTCCAAGTGCCCTCGTACTTGGCGCCACTTCCCTGACTGATGCGCGTCCCGTATCTGCCTTTGAAGCCGTGCGTCCACTCTCCCTTGTAGATCCAGTGACCCTTGGTCTCCACACCTAAACCGTGACGCTTCCCCTGGGACCAATAGCCCTCATACGTGTTTCCACTCGGCCATGTGTAGACTCCGACCACCTCGAACCCGTAATTCCAAGAGCCGGAGAACTCTCCTTGTCCTTTGGGTCCGGTGCAGATCCCGTGTCCGTGCGCTTTTCCTCCCTCCCAGCCTCCACAATAAGCTCCGCCATCATCAAACTCAAAGCGACCTCCGCTCATCACTTCTCACTGCAATCACCAATAACTTCCGAAACTCTCAAACTTAAAAAAACTATAATTTACCGATTAACCTCTACCGGGCGCTGTTAAATCCATGCGTAAACCGGAGAGAGCCGATCCTTTTTTCCTCGCGCTGACTTGGAGAGTCGTCGCTCATCATTTGCTGATTTTGTATAGGCTATATCCTTAAATGCTGAATCAAACGTCTTGTAGTTGAAGTGACTTAGGAGAGGGAGGATTGTTTTTTAGCTTTTTGTTTTTAGTTACATAATCTTGTTGCTTTCTGTTTACAATGATCTATTTAATCGAATAGATCATGGCTTTTCAACCCCTCTCCCCTCTCCCTGCCTCCCCGCTTCGCACTTGGAGTAGCTGGATGTGTTTCACAGTCCCAACAAGGCTACCAGATCCCGACACTGTTCCAAAAATACAGGCCAATCGGCCAGCAGCACCAGGCACTTTTAAAAGCGCTGCCAGATCACTTGCAGGACGGGGTTTGGGCTCGATGTCCATATCGGGGGTCGCTCGAGCCTCTGTCTGTTATTTTGAGTGTGTGTTCGTAAGCATAGATTCTAGAAACTGTTATAATTGCATGCCTGTACGTTTTATTATGCTTTATTTACTGTGCACATATGATAAATAGGGAAACTGTTGCATTCGCAGGCACTATACAGAGAGTCATTGTGACGAGCACACAGGTCGGAACTTTTGGGGTTTTGGAGAGTTCAGTTAAATGTAGTGGAAATACATTAGTCGAATAATAATGCCCTTAAGTTCAAGTATATTATATTTTAATAACCTGTTAAAAGTGCTGGGTTCCACGTAATTTCTTCATGCTGTCCCAACTCAAATCGATTAAGTTAACTCAATTGTTTAAGTAGATTAAACATGAAACAATTAAGTTGTCCCAAAAAACTCAAGAATTGTGTTTATTTAGCTCATTGAAGTTTGAACAAGCAGCAATTTTATTCTATTTGATTTATTATTCATTCATTTAGATCAGGGGTGCACAAACTTTTTCTTATGAAGGGCCAAAAACCAAACTTGATTGAGGCTGTAGTGGGCCAAAGGTAGTTGCCGTTGGTAATTTACTAATTTATTCAATAAGATTTTTAAAAAGGACTAGAGAAAACATTGCTTTATATTAACTGATTACAGTAGTTTTGGCCTCAGCTTGCTCACCGATGACTTCTGCATATAATCCTCAATCCGTCAATTGACATTGTTTACATTTTATAAAATCAGATTCCCTTATACATTTAAATAAAAGATTTAATTTCAGTTTGTTTTTTTCTAGCTCCACAGTAAAAGAAAAAAAAAGGTTATGTCAAATTGGAAATTATGATCTCTGTGTTAAAGGCATTTGCCCCAATCCTCTCCGGCATTCTCAGTCTTCTGTCAGGTGGTATGGTGAGCCAAACCAAAGGTTACAATGGGCCAACTTTGGCCCACGGCCCTACTTTGGGCATCTCTGATTTAGACTGTTGGTATTTATCTACAAATAACTTTTAGTAATGCAAAAAATATTCTAAGGAAATATGACTTTTCTTATTTTTTTAAGTTCATATTATTATTATTTATTTATTTATCTTTATTTCGTCTGTTTTAACACTTTTTTGTATGTTAAATATTAAGTTCTGACTAAATAAATAGGCAAAACTGTATGAAGACAAGTTCATATTTGCTTTTCAAGTTTGCTTTTCTGGCTCTCTTCAGATCACATTTGAGCCAATATGTTATTTGCTGTTTGTTTGTGATTTATTTTTTTTTAATTGTGCAATTTCGGAGTGAAAATGAACTATGTGTAAACTCTATTTTGTCCTTCTCCATTACATGTAGTTTATGTTTATAGCACATTTTAGTACTTAATGTGTAAGGGCTTAGTCCCTTTAATAATCAGGGGTCGCCACAGTGGAATGAACCACCAACTTATCAAGCATATGTTTTACACAGCAGATGCCTTTCCAGCTACAACCCATCACTGGGAAACTCATACACTCTTGCATTCACACACATAAAGTGCAGCCCATTTAGCTTATTCAATTCACGCATGTCTTTGGACTGTGGGGGAAACCGGAGTACCCGGAGGAAGCAGGACATGCAAGAACATACAAGCTCCTACACAGAAATGCCTACTGACCCAGCCGGGGCTCAAACCAGTAACCTTCTTGCTGTGAGGCGATCGTGCTACCCACTGCCCCACTATGACACCACATTTAAGACTCTACAAAAAGACAACATCTATAGAAGTTACGGTTTTTTAAGCTGAACTGAAATGAAAGTTTCCCAAAGAATTCAGTCTTGTGCTGCATACAGAAAAACCTGTGTTTGCTCTACTTGATTTGACTGCAGATCATCATGCGTGTAGAGAAACCGCGTCATCTGCTGGTCATTTTCTGCTATTGCATAACATTAGCTTCTCCTTACTAAATTATTCTTTATTCCAGGGGTGCCCAAACTTTTTTCTATAAATGGCAAAAACTTGATTGAAGGATGTGGACCAAACATAGCAAACTGTATTTATTAAATTTGCCATGGCCAATATCTTAATTTATTCTGTAATATTAAAAAATAACTAGAAAGCGTTGCTTTAAATCATATTAACTAATGCAAAATCATTTGTAACATTTAACACCAAACATGTTACAGTAAAATCATAAACAATCCCTTTTATAACACAATGGAGTTCAATGCAGAATGCACTAGTCAAGCTGCTCCTGCTTTGATCTTGATTTGCTTGCAGATGTCTAATGCATTGATATCTATCTGTCAAGTGACAGTATTTACATTTTAAAATTCTGAGTCATTTACATCATTTAATTAAATCATTTAAGTTCAGTTAGCTTTTTTGTAGCTTAGCAATAAAGCAAAGAAACAAAAGGTTACGTTAAATTAGAAATAATGATCTCTGCCAAAGGCATTCGCCCCAACCACAGCCCCATCACTACCATGGGCCAACTTTGGCCTGTGGGCACTATTTTGGGCATCTCTACTTTAATCAAGCAAAACCACAGCGTTCAGAGAACTGTTACACAGTAGCTTTATTTTAAACCTTAAGTACAATTGTTGCATTCAATTGTTAATAGTGAACATTCACAGAGGTAAAAAAAAAAATACATTGTGTCATTCATACTGACACACATTCACCTCTTCTGCGATGAGCATGTGGGTATCATTTGTAGTCAAAAATGTCTAGAGGGTGTAACTCTCTGCATTATTTTATGTTGTGTTATAAAAGCTAAAATAAATATTCGCATTAAACCAAAAAGCGTACATTTTACAAAAGCAATCACTGACAAAGAAAATAGTAAAAAAAAGTAAGGATGACATTCATATTTTTAAAAAACATTATCTATCCATAAAAGTTCCTTCTTTGAAAGATTCTAATTTCGCATGAACTCTTCTCCATGCCATAAGGATGTCCAGCAGCACCAGGTCTATAATAATAATAATAATAATAATAATAATATAATACTAAGAAAAATTTGCATAAACCAAAAAGCAAACTTTTTTTTTAAGTACATAAAAACAAAAAAACAAAACTTAAAAAAATGACATCAAAGTAAAAGGTCGCATCATCATCCTTCCATAATCTTGAGCATTGAAACTGCTCTTTTTGCATAAACTCTTCTCCTCATAATCAAGGGTTTGTATCTGGAGTTCAGCTGCAGCAAGCAGGTCTTTAATAATAATATAAAATACAATAAGTATTTTATAAGTATTTATAAATACAATACAAAAGCATACATCTTTCAAAAAAGCGTAAACAAACAAATCAAAACCAGGTAAAGATGACATTCCTGCTTTTCATCATCTTTAAAATTGCTCATTTTGTATGAACTCCTCTTAACAGGTCTATGGAGAAGTGATGCGGTGACGGCGCGTTGATGATGCTGCTGATTCCCCTGTTCATGGTGCTGAAATCCCGCCGCGCTCAAGCTCTTTCCACCCTCCCTACATCTCTCTCCTCCCACCTGCCCTCTCTCTCTCTCTCTCTCTCTCTCTCTCTCTCTCTCTCTCCCCCTCTCTCTCCTCTCCTCTCTCTCACACACACGCACAAAACCCTCTGTCATGGCGTCTTCCAACAATGTTACTCCCACCAACTGTAGCTGGTGGCCCATTTCAGCCATGGAGGAAGATGGCAAAATCCCAGACGGAGAGGAGAGTCACGAGCCCACGATACACGAACACAAGCCATACTCCAAAGACAGGCTCGTGCTGTACCACTGGACTCAGTCCTTCAGCTCGCAGAAGGTAAGGAAAACACAGCGTGAAAATGGTGGGTGAATGTATATATGTGTGTGTGTGTACTATGCAGCATGTAAAGCCACAGCGGGAATACATTGCGCTTGTTCGGGATGCACGCGCGCTTTATTGGCCTACCTGTGCGTTCCATTGCGTCCTTTATGAAGACATTACGAAAGCTCAGCAGGAGACGGGATATTTTTTGCCTTAAGTAAAGCCGCAGCTCAATATCATCGATCAGGGGTATGCATTGGGTTGATATTGGGGGCTAATGCATTGGGGTTAACTGTTTATAAGCTATTGTTGAGGAGTTGTGCGCTGTTTTGCCCTGAATGATGATGATGATGATGATGGTAGTATAAATTATTCATTAAAATGAGGTAGCTTTGTGAAAAACAAACGGTGATTCTGTATTCTGCTGTCAATATGCTTCGTGCAGGTTTCAGTCATGGTCATTTCCAAGTTAATGTGTTTCTGTGTGCATCATTAATGTGGAAACTTTAACAATTAACCCTAACTTCTGCTGTATGCTAGGCTAATAGGCATTTCAATGAATGCCATCAGCAAAAATATATATACATGCATGCACACATAATATTTGAGTGTTTTCTTATTAAAATGTGATGTTTTTAATGTTACATAATATAGCATGCATAAGTTAATATGAAATTATACCTGTTAAATTGTGTTGTTTTATTGTTTAATGAATATATTTTATCAAAAATGCAAACACAAAATTTATTAAATTATAATAACATACAAAATAATTAGGATTTTATTTGGTAGATTAGATTCAGCTTCAGTGTCATTGCACATATACAAGTACAAGGCAATGAAATGCAGTTTAGGTCTTACCAAAAATGCAATAGCAGCAAGTGCAGCATATGCAATGCTCATCTGCATGTTTTCTTATATATGCTGAGCACTGTACATACATGCATACATAATATTGTAGGGTTTTTAGATTTTTTTTTATTAAAAATGTCATGTTTTTGAAGTGTTACATAATATACGTTAGTATGAAATTATACCTGTTATATTGTTTTTTTATTATTGATTTTGACTATTTAATGAATGAAAATATCTTTAGTGTATGAAAATGTTTATCATATACAAACACAACATTTATTAAGTTATAATAAAATATTAAATAATTAGGGTTTTATTTTTTAGATTAGATTAGATTTAACTTTATTGTCATTGCACATGTACAAGGCAGCAGTTTATGTCTAACCAGGAGTGCAATAGCAGCAAGTGCAGGATATACAGTGCTCAGCATAACTGAGTACACCCCATTTTGAAAATGAATATTTTTATACATTTCTCAGTGAATATAGGAAATGTATTTTAGTGCATCTAAACAAAACAGATTAATTAAACAGATATATTTATTAAAATAATATTTAGCCACTGAACATATTTAGGAATGAAAGATAGTACAAATAATTTAAAGCAAAATATTGCAAAAAATAAATTACAACCTACAAAGTTTCAAATCAGTTTTTCTATTTTTTTGCTTCTGTTTATTTTTCCTCTTTTTAAAATTTGTATTTAATATTTTTCTATTGCATAAATTTGGCTGTACTAGTTTTTGGACCTTTATCGTTAATTATTTTGTTAGATAAGCTCCAGATTTGGCTCCAGTACTGACTAATCTAGTATATGCACAAATATATAATTAAATAATTTGATATAGCTTTCTATTAAAAATATGAATTTAAAAGAGAGATTTGTGAGGGGTGTACTTATATATGCTGAGCACTGTATGTATAAATTGTAAAGTGTAAGTATAGAAAAACTATGAGTATTTACAGATGGATGTACTATAAACATTACCAGATAGGATTTGGTATTTTAAAACCCAGCATAATTTCATTTAAACATTTATATATTATTAAGTACTAGAGTTGCGTGATATTGGGAAAATAGAGATTGCAATATTTATTCTTTTCTGAAAAAAAAAGAAAAAATCTATTCTTTTCTGCATATTAAGATAATTTCATAAGATCATTTAAATATCTATTAGAAAATAATTCATTATTTTATATTTTACATGCAACAAATTTGATAAATTCTTGTCCCCAAATGGTTTAAGTTAGCTTGAAATCTTACACAGTGACAATAAATTAGTTTCTGTAGTCTTTCTGCAGTAGGTTTAAACTTTGCTTGTGTTCTGAACTGTTTCCTGGTTAATTATAATCTCAACTCTGCGTTTTGACTATTGCATATTTGCACAATACGGTATTGATGCTGAAATAATATATGCAGCCCTATTACGTACTGTTCATTCTGAATGATGGTGTACCTTTATTATGACGATATATTTATAAATGTGACTTTTTTCTCCCTGTGTTGGCGTGGTTTACACCGGGTGCTTCCGTTTCCACCACAAGTCCAAAGACATGCGCTATAGGTGAATTTATGTAGGCTAAATTGTCCGTAGTGTATGTGTGTGAATGAGTGTATGGGTGCAGCTGGGAGGGAATCCAGTGCGTAAAACATATGCTGGATAAGTTAGCGGTTCATTCCGCTGTGGCGAGCCCAGATTAATAAAGGGACTAAGCCGAAAAGAAAATTACTGAATGAATAAAATGCAGCACTTTCTAGTATCATGACCTTGAGCACAAGGCTAGTGATGGCTAAATGGCTACAAATGACCTACAACCCCTTGACCGACGACCCTTTTATAAAGCAAAGCTGTCATCCAATGTATTTTTAAAGCATCGACTGAAACCTGTGATTACTTACTTACTTCCAGGGCCATTTATTTCACAGTTGATATTTAGCCACACTATATTGGTGTTTTGTTACATCTAGTTTTTATGAGTTGTTAGCACGCAACCCTCAATCTAGAGGCCCAGGACATACACACATACACTACGGCCAATTTAGCTTATAGTACATGTATTTGGACTGTGGGGGAAACCGGGGCACACGCAGGAAACCCAGGCCAACACATGGAGAACATGCAAACTCCACACAGAAATGCCAACTGGCCCAGCCGGGGCTCAAACCAGCGACCTTCTTGCTGTGAGGAGATGACGCTACCCACTGCGCCACCGTGTCGCTTCCACAACATTTTTAAGTTGTTTATATAATCGCTGATTTTATTTATATGTGCACTAAAATGCAACTTTCCAATAAACACTTTCTAGTATCTTGACCTTGAGCACAAGGCTAGTGATGGCTAAAAATTTGCCAACAATCTCCTTGACCCCTTTTTAAAAGCAAAGCTGTCAAGCCTTGCCTAAAAGCTGCAATGCATTCCAGGTAACACTTAAAGACATTCATTGTCTCATAAAATGTTTATTTTAATAAAATGTTTACATTAAATATGCTGATTCGAAATAGGAAAGGCCTCATATTCCGTAGGATGACCCAGCAAGCGTGAGGCTCTCGTATTTGATTGTCACTCTCTAGTCAGTCTGATTTAAATAAATATTACGTGTTACCTCTAAGCTAAACCTGACTCCTCACAACAATATTAAATTGACCAAAACATCAGCGAGGCTCAGATCATAAACTGATTCATTTTGCTGATTACAGTAGTTACAGACATGCATGGAAAGCTGAGGAAAAAATCAATGGCCTGCCAAAATCCATCTCCTATTTACTTACCAGCAGACTGAGAAACGCTGTTAAATAAGGCAAAGCTTTATTGTTCTTCATGATGCTCCTGTGAAATTAATTTTGACTTGAGAAATAACAATCATGGAAACAACCATGTCACCTCACTGAGCAGATCTTTCAACGCTTTAATTTTTGTGTATTAATCAATGTGTTAACCTGATGAAGCTGCAAAAGGTTAAGATGTGTCCTTTCCAGATGATTATTTTGTGGCCATTCCAGTGGTGGATGAAGTACACATACAGTACTAGGCACTTGACTACAATCTTAAAATGCTTGCTGCCTGAATTATTTTAGTTGAATCAAATGAACTTCTCTAGTCATCTTAATGTACATCAATCAAACTGACTAAATATATTATGTTAAACTTTGTATAACTTAAAAGAAATCGTTTAATAACCTTATTTACTTATTAAATAAGTTAAAGTAGCATTTGTGAACAGATATGAACAAATAAACAAATATCCTAATAAAATGTTTATCCAGTAGAAGTATATTGTATACTTTCTAATATCACTTTAGTCAAAGTACAAAAGTACTTGATTTTCTATTTGGGAGACATGGTGGCTCAGTGGTTAGCACTGTTGCCTTACAGCAAGAAGGTCGCTGGTTCGAGTCTTAGCTGGGTCAGTTGGCATTTCTGTGTGAAGTTTGCATGTTCTCCCCGTGTTGGCGTGGGTTTCCCCCACAGTCCAAAGACATGTGGTATAGGTGAATTGAATAAACTAAATTGGCCGTAGTGTATGTGTGTGAATGAGAGTATATGGGTGTTTCCCAGTGATGGGTTGCAGCTAGAAGGGCATTTGCTGTGTAAGTTAGTGGTTCGTTCCGCTGTGGCGACCCCTGATGAATAAAGGGACTAAGTCAAAGAAAACGGAATGAATGAATAAATGTAAAAGTACTTATTAATGTATGTTTATTTTGTAAATAAATTGAATTTCCAAAACTATCATACTCTGATAACCACAATGAAATTCATAATAATTCAAGTGAAAACTACATTCACACGCTGAACCCCATTTTCAAAATCAGTGAATCTTTTCTGGAGACTCACTTTAAATAGATAATTTGAATCTGAATAATTTTTGTAGACTCACTCTAAACAAATCATTTAAATTTGTGAATCATTTTCTGGAGACTCACTCTGATCATATAATTTAAATCAATAAATCATTTAGAGACTCACTCTGAAGATATCATTTAAATCAGTGAATCATTTACTAGAGACTCAGTCTCTAGTAAATGAATTGATCTCTCTCTCTTTCTTTCTCTCTCTCTCTCTCTCTCTTCAAATAAACAGATAATTTGAATCCAAATAATTTTCTGGAGACTCACTCTGAACAGATCATTTGAATCAGTGAATCATTTACTAGAGACTCACT